TTCACGAATGGCCGCAAATAACACAATGGCCAACGCCCAGCCGAGGCCGGATCCAAGACCATAAGCCACACTCTGCGTGAAGGTATAGCTGCGTTGAACCATAAGCAGCGAACCACCGAGGATTGCGCAGTTAACTGTTAGCAGCGGTAGATAGATGCCGAGACGCTGGGCAAGTGCGGGGATGAAACGTTCAAGAATCACTTCCAGAATCTGTACTGAAGCTGCAATGACACCAATGAACATGACAAACTTCAGAAATGAAAGATCGAGGCTGCCCAGGCCCATCCAGTCCAGCGCGCCAGGCGCAAGCAGGGTCTGATAGATGAGATTGTTAAGCGGTACGGTAATGACCTGTACGGCGACCACTGCCACGCCCAGGCCGATTGCAGTGGCGACGCGCTTGGATACTGCCAGATAAGTGCACATGCCTAACAGGAAGGCCAACGCAAGGTTCTCGACAAACATGGCGCGCAGAACGATGTTGGCAAATCCTTCCATCAGTCAGCCTGCCTGTAAACTGGACGGTCTTCCTGATAGTCAGGCCCTTCTACCAGCTGGGTACGCCAGCTGCGGATACCCCAGATCAGGAAGCCGATAATAAAAAAAGCGCTGGGCGCGTACAGCATCATCTCGTTAGGGCGATACCAGCCGCCTTGTTCAGCCAGTGCAAACACCTGATGATCCAGCAACGTACCGGCACCCAGCAGTTCGCGCACCGCGGCCACACCGAGCAAAATAAGCGCGTAACCAAAACCGTTACCCAGGGCATCCATGAGGCTTGGCAACGGGCCATGATGCATGGCAAAGGCCTCGGTACGCCCCAGAATAATGCAGTTAGTGATGATCAAGCCGACAAACACGGAAAGCACCTCAGAAATCTGCGGCGCATAGGTTTTGAGCACTTCGTCGACAACAATAACCGCAGAAGCAATCAGCGTGACTTCGAGGATCAGGCGGATGCTGCGCGGCATGATATGGCGCAACAGGCTTACCGCAACATTGGCAAATACCAGGACAACGATGACGCTGGCAGCCATAATCAACGCAGGCTCCAGTGAACGGGAGACCGCCAGCGCTGAACACAGACCCAGAATCTGGACGGTAACCGGATTCTCATCAATCAGAGGATCTGTCAGGTATTTACGTAACATCATGGAGCGTCCCCCGCCTGCCCGTCCATTTCGGGAGCAATTTGCCGCAACAGCGGCTTATAAGCGGCTGCCCAGAAACGAACCATACGCCCCACAGCCTGACTGGTGACTGTGGCGCCAGTGATGGCATCAACACGGTATTGCGCCGGGGTGTCTGCATCTGCATTCATACGGATCTTCACCTCGCCGGAATCATCGTACAACCGTTTGCCCTGCCAGCTCTGCAACCAGGTTTCATCCAGAATACGGTCGCCGATACCCGGCGTTTCACCATGTTTATAAAATGCCAGTGCAGCAATGGTCTGCAGATCCGGCTCCAGCACCAGGTAACCCATGAGCATTGACCACATGCCCCGTCCGTGCAGCGGCAGAATCAGGCGCTTTGAACCAGCTGGTCCAGGGACGAGATATACCGGCACGTAGCGAGGCAGCGTGTTCAATCCCACACTGTCCATTTCTGCCAGAGTGGCGCCAGGATCAACGCCGGTGGATGCCCAATGGTCATAAACGTGGCCATCCAGCGTATTTGTTGGGCGCCCTGAAGTGAGTTCCACAACGCGGGCATCCAGCTCAAGGTAAGCATTAACAACTGCCCTGTCGCCGGCGTCCGACGGCAGGTATCCGGCTGCCCCGAGAATGGTCTCGTTGCGTTCAAGAGATGCATAGGCTGCCTGCAGCGGACGCAGAAAATAAACCGCTCCGGACACCATGGCAGAACAAAACAAGGCGATACACACCGCGATCAGCATGGTGCGGGGGACGGACTCTGTAGATGCCTGCGCGGTCATTTTGAGAGTGATACCTTGCTGCTGACATATCTGCGTATTGCCAGGTAATCGAGCAGCGGTACGCTCAGCGCCGCGAGCAGAACCGCAAAAAGCGTGCCGTCCGGGTGCGCCGGGTCCAGCACTCTGATGCAGACCACCACCGCACCAATCGCGCCGCCATAAAGCCAGCGACCGCTTCTGGTCAGCGGTCCGCAGCTGGGGTCGGTAGCAATGAACGTCAGTACAAATGCGAGGTTGCCAACGACCAGATGTGCATACCAAGGCAGTGCTGCGGCGGTGTTATCAGCAATCAGCCAGCTACAGGCAATGGCGGTGCCTGCTACGCCGGCGACGCCGCCGACAAGCACACGCCAGGACACAGCGCCGGCGTAAACGAGATACACCGCACCTGCAAGACAGGCCAGTGTCGAACCGGTGGCTATGGCCCCCTGTTCCATGCCGATAAGAAGGACAAAGAACTGATCCAGTGATAGTGCACCCTGGTTCGCCACCTCCGACCAGCTGCCCGCGGCAGCCAGTTCTTCCGGCAATATTGTCGTCTGTAAGTAGCCCGGATAACTGAAATGCAGGAACAGCACACCGAGCAAGGCCGGGCTCACCAGATACTTACCCGTGCCGCCAAATATATGCGCACCTACCACAACACCAAAGCTCAAACCCAGTACTGCCATCCACAGCGGCACACCGGGCTGCAGCATCAGCGCAAACAGCCAGGCGGTCATGACCCAGCCATGGTCCAGCGGTTGTGACCTTCGTTGTGCAAAAACCCTTTCCCAGCCATACGCAACAGCAAGGGCAATCAGAACCAGAGGTGTGAGGTACGACAGCCCCAGTAACGTTGCCGTCAGCCCGGCTTCAGGATTCATGTCGAGCCCCAGAGCGGCAAGCCCTGTGCCGCGCCAACCGAGCAGCTCTTGGAGACCTGCTGCCGGAGTCTGTTGCAGAATTCGTGTGCCCAGGTTCCAGACACCCACCGCCGCAGCGGGAACGGACGCGACAATAAAACAGGCGAAAATGCGGTTGCTCGACCAGGGGCTACGCAGTGGTGGCGCCATATCAACCATCCTTCTCGAAGGCTTGCAGTGTGGCGCGCAACGCCGCCCCATAGTCCTGCTTTGCCGGACATACGTAGGCACACAGCGCCAGATCTTCCTCGGCCAGCATCATCGCACCCAACTCGTTTGCTGTGTCGGTATCACCGGTCAACAGGGCTCTGAGCAGGGGTAAGGGAGGCATGCTGAAAGGCCAAACAGCGTCGAAGGCTTCTACCGACAGCATACCCGTCATAGCCACTTCACCTGGGTGTTGGGCGCTAATTGCAGTGCGCGGTGCAACGAGCTGTTGCAGCCAGGATTTTACCGTCTCGGTCTTTACCGAGGTCTGTGTGACCGGCGGGCTCACCCATACCTGATTGTGGAGGCGACCCAGATAGCTGCCAACCAGTCCATCACGCTGATCATGCAGAGGCGAACCTGAGGTGGCCGTAGTGCCTGGCACGGCATCGCCGATCAGGTCAACCAGGGCAGCGCCGCTTCGGGTGCGCAATTGCTGCGGCTGATTCAGGCCCGGGCCTGCCAGAGAAATATCCCTGCCAACTGTTATACGACCGTGCAGAAACAGGTGGCCCACAGCAATAACGTCCTGGTAGCCGATACACCAGACATCTTTTGCATTGGGTGCCAGATAGTGGATATGTGTGCCAGCCAAACCCGCCGGGTGCGGACCGCTGAAAGCAACTGACGTTACCGCAGGTATGTCCGCGTGTGAGGGTTCATCGCCAGGTGCCCTGCACACATAAGTGTGTCCGGCCAGCAAACTGAGTTTTTCGACGCCTGCAGCAAAAGCCTTCGCGTTACGCTCTATCACCGAGGCTGGGTTCAAAGCTGATGGGTGGGTATCAATGGCGGTGATAAACAGATGTCCAACAGCCGCATCCGCCGCGGGGATGACATCAAAGGGTCGAACCCGGAACGCAGGCCATAATCCATTGTGCTGCAGAACATTGCGCAAAGTGCTCGCATCCACGGGGCTGCTCGAGGGAAGCGCAACGGAATATTCGTCGGCCTCCTCGGTGACCTCAATCACCAGCGCCTGCAGGCTGCGACGCGCGCCGAGATGAATTGCGCTGACGATTCCTGTTGCCGGTGCGCAGCATCGTATCTGTTCTGCGTGATCAGTGAATACAACATCACCGAGATTGACATGATCACCCTGTTTGACTGCCAGGGCAGGTTTGATGCCCGGGTAATCGACACCCAACAGTGCCACGCTGCGGACAGCAGCGGTCCCCACCGCGGGAGCAAAAGCGGAGTCCGGGGCTATATTCAAGCCGCGTTTGATGTCAATGCGCTGCATGATCCATGTTAAGCACTTACCGGGCCATATATCTCTACGTAGAAATCCTAGTAGGCTGCCCACAGGGATTGCATGAGTATGTTAGTCATGAGGGGATCATTGTTGAAATTTATCAGTGTCTTTATAAGCACTGCTGCCATCTGTTCTGCTGCTTTGCTGCATGGGGCAACGCCTTGTATTGCCTGTCATGCCGAAACGGTGAGGGAATTTTCAGCTGATCCACACAGCCGTGCGGCCGCCAACCAGCAGCAGGTGGATGCGGATTCGAGCGCTGTCTGTGCCAGTTGTCATGGCGACGTGGAACAACACAGTACTTCACCGTCGCAACGCCAGGGTATGCATTCCTTTGACGATGAACCCCCGGGCGAAGTAAATGCTGTTTGCAGCAGCTGCCACCAGGATAAACACCCAACCTCCGCAGACTCGCACGGGCGCGCTGGGCTGGACTGCACAGGCTGTCACAGCATTCATGGTGAGTTGCCTGTGGCAAAGCTGCCCGACAATTTCCGCGACGTCGATAGCGCTTCAGCAGTCTGTTATCAGTGCCACCAGGATACGTTTACGCAGTTTAACTTTAACGAAGGGCATCGGCTGGCGCAGGGCGCAGTGAGCTGCGTGTCCTGTCACGACCCCCACCAGCCTGATAAAGGTATGCAACTGGGTGGCTTCCAGCAGGCTCAGTGTCGCACCTGTCATGCTGACAAAGATGGACCGTTTGTGTTCGAACACGCGGCGTCGCGAGTGGAAGGCTGCAGCGCCTGTCATACACCCCATGGCAGCCCGAATCGACACATGCTGACCCATCAGGACACCGGTGCGCTGTGTTACACCTGCCACGCAGCAGCACCACAGTTTCATCTTGGTTTTGGTCCCGGCCCTGCCAGGTTCGACGAACGGACCGTCTGTACCAACTGCCATGTGACCATTCACGGCTCCAATTTAGATCGACTTTTTCTCCGTTGAGGTGGCCTGTGCTTAATTACGCTACCGGTAAAAAAATTTGGGCGCGGAGCCTGCTGGCTGGGTTTGCTGTCCTGTCGACCAGCGTCTTTGCTGAAGAGAACTTTACCGGTCATGTCGAGATTGGCCTGCGGGAAGTCGACGTGCAGGGCGACAAAAACAAATACGATCAGTACATCAATTTATCAGATGGCGCCCGCCTGGCTGGATTTAGCGCACGTTATGCCCCCCGACAGAGTGAGGGAAACACACCGGATCTGTTAGATTTACGCATCGTAGGGTTAGGCGGCGAACCTTACGAAAGTATCGATGTTACCGCGCGCAAATACAGTACTTATCGCTTTCGCTACAGCCGCCGCAAATCCGAGTATTTCTATGAAGATCTGCTGGTGCGACCGGAAGACGCCAGTGTCGAAGGCTCAACCGGAGGCGATTTTCACCAGTTCGATTTTGAGCGGACACGCGACACCTTGAGCCTCGGTCTGGATCTGACAAGCCAGGCAAAACTCACCTTTGATTTTGATCGCTATGAGAAAAGCGGTGACAGCACCACCACTATTGATGTTGAACGCGAAGAGTTTGAGTTGGATCAGCCCATAAACGAGGAACTGCGCTCTTCCACTTTGGGATTTCAATACGACTGGGAGCGGGTCACACTCACTTTAAGGGAGCAGTGGCAACGTCATGAAAATGATTACAGCGCATTTCTACCCGGTTTTTCTGCGGGTAGCGACCCCACCGAACCCACCGAGCTGAACAATTTCTTTCTGAATCAACCCTACAGCAGCGACGTACGCGAACACGCCGTGGGTTTACAGATCAGACCCACGGACAAATTGCAGACCCGGCTGGATTTCCGGCAGATTGATCTGGACCTTGATCTGGATGCTGCCGAGCGCGCCCAGGGTCTCGATTTTCTCGGCAACCCATTAGACCGTGACCTGCAGGGTGTCGGCGAGGTGGAACGCAGCACCCAGCTGGTGGATGCAGAAGCCATCTATGCCCTGACCGAGCGATGGCAGGTTGGCGCAAGTATCAGGTATTACGAACTCGATCAGGATGGTTCTGTTGTGTTTGGCGGTGAACCTGCGGACAGTCATTGGCAACTTGATCACCTCGGCTACGAGTTATCAGCGCAGGCTGCGCTGACCGATGATCTGCATATCGCTTTTGGTTGGCAAACAGAATCTCGTGACGCTGAATTTGTGGAAACACAAATTGATGGCGTCTTTGCCCGCAGTGAAGACACCGATCAGACAGGCTTTTTTGTGCAGGCCAACTACCAACCGGACGCGCACCTGAAAATCAGCCTTACCGTGGAAGACAATCGTATTGACGATCCTTTTACGCTGGCATCTGCAACGGACGCTCTACGCTATCGGTTACGCGGCCGCTATCGCTTCGACAACGGTCTGAGTCTAACGATGTCGCACCGGCGCACGGACTATGAGAATACCAATACCGATTGGCAATCTACGACTGAGCAAACCGATATCAGATTCGAACTTGCCCTGGAGCGCTTGACCCTGGTTGCTGGTTACGCAAGCGTAGATCTGGAAAATGAAATTGATCAGTTAGTCACAGGTGGCTTCCGCCAGGACCTGTTTGCCATTAAATATGAGGCTGACGCAGATTTCTGGGATGCTTCCGCGGACTTTCAGGTGAACGAAAAATTGTCTTTATCAGGTGCTTTCCGCACTTATGAAAACGATGGCAGCTTCCACGTGGAGCGGGATGATGTCCGGCTGGCGGCGCACTACACCCTGCCGCAGGACTATGTTGTTGGCTTGAGCTACCGCAGGATCGACTTTTCCGAAGGTGATCTGGAAGAGTTTGACGCGGATATATGGGAAATAACCCTACGCCTCGACTGGTAGCGTGATCCTGCTTTAACAGCGCCGCGAGAGAACAGGGCTGAACTCTACTTCTGAACCCAGGTATCAATAAAAACCCAGCCACCTGGCTCAGTTTTCTCGATCGTCTTTTTACCCGCCAGGGCTTCGACATCCGCCAGTGGGATTTCATTTTTTAAAGCAATGCGCTGATACTGGGCCTTGCGTTTGCCATTGATGTCATTGACAAGCGCGCTAACTTCCGCCGAGACGTTATCTCTCACCGCACCTAAATAGCCGTCTGCCCGCTCACCAACCAAGCCATCCGCCTTGGCGGTATCCAGGTCGATAGCATAAACACTCAGCGAAGCAGCCAGGAATAATGTCGTTGCCAGATATCTGGTTATTTTCTTCATATTAAAAAAGCTCACTGTCTTTTTCGAACAAATTGTCGAGATCTTTATCTACCTTCACCAGAATTTCGTGTTTGATGTTGACGTTAAGATTGATGGTAATGGGTTCGTCCGTAGCTACACGGACGGTGGGTGTACAGCCCGCCAAGGCACCCAGCACCACTGCCATACACGCCACACCTGCAGCCCGGCGTTTCAAGTAAGTCCCTTTCATTTGCGTTCCATGCTCCTGATGCTCATCGGATTAAAAGCTTCTTTCACCGTTTAGGCTGCCTCATCACACCGCGTTCGACGCGCTCGGTCACGCCACTTTGCGCGTTAAGCGCGTCTAGCAGCGAAAAAACATTTTCGCTGATATTCAAGTTGTAATGGATCGGTCGGCCTTTTTCCACCTCCGGGTTACGCCCTTGCAGGCTCACCGCCAGCTGAAGATCACCGTTTTCTTCATAGTCGGCCACCGCCGTCAAAGTCTGATAATTGAAATTGGTCAGCGCCTGCATGGCAAAATCGATGCCCGGCTGTCCTGTGCCGAGAGTGAACTTCGGCGAGACTTGAATCAAGCCGCCAGCATCGCTGGCGCGAATCTGCCCACCTTCCATACTGACCTTACCGTCGTTGATCCTGACCGGCAGCGTACCATGAAGCCGTCCTTCGCCTTTAATGTCGTCACCTTCCAATGCCAACACCTGAGCCAGGTCCATATTCACCAGATCCATGTCCAGGCTTGCCATATTCCGGCCAAGATCATATTGCGTGGGTTTGATGGTCACACCACCACCTAACAGATCGAATTTACCGCTGAAGATATCAACCACATCATCCTGCCACGCCACCTTCATTTCTGCGTTCTGTACAACCAAACCAAAATCGAATTCGCCCACCCTGATTGTTGAAGGCTGCAAACGCAGAACACTGTCGTCCAGAACAAAGTCCAACTCAGCTGTGGTTTGCTGTAATTCATATTCGTCGTAACGCACCATGCCACGATCTAATGCAACCGCAGCCCGTCCATCGAGAACGCCGTCCAGCCATACTGCCTGCAGAGCAACATCGACATCACCGCTGACGATGTCGAAATCGTAGGGCCACTTCTGCACCAGGGATGCGCCGAGATTCTTCACAGACCATTGGCTTGCACCACTCAGGTCAGCGCGGCCGCTCAGGCTGTTGTAGTTGACGTGTAAAGGAAAACTCAGATTACCAACTGTGATATTGAGATCTGCAACCATACCGCTGGCAGGTATCAGGAAAACGCCCGTGATCAAACCCCTGGTCTGCAGACCGTAACTGGTCATTGCAAATTCCGCGTCGCTATCCAGACTGATATCTGCATTACGCAAATCGATGACTGTCCGGGTCAACCTGGACTGAAATGTAATGTCTTCAACATCCTGCAGGATCGCGGTCATACCCGGGCCGATACTGATCTGATTATCCGCATACTGCACAGATGTTCCTGAATCCACGGTGAACAGCACGGCAGCCTCGGACAAGGCAATGCTGCCACCCGCCAACGTCAGCACCATACTGGCCGGTGATCCGCTGAGTTGACCGCGAAGCGCTTCGACTTCTACGGTTTCATCCTGCCAGTCGAGTTGAAAACTGCCGGCCAGCGGCAACAACTGGTACGCCTGGCTTATGTCAAAAGAATCGAGCCTGGATGCCAGTTGCCCCTGCACACGACCACTACCCTCCGGCAATCCCAGCAATCCAGTCACCAGACTTAAGGGGTATCCGCTGAGGTCAAAGTGCCCGGTTATTTCAGTTTCATCATCCAGCGGCATTGCATTCAACTTTAGAAACGGTGCATCCGGCTCGGATCTGTCAAAGAAAGCAAACTGCAGACTGGTATTGGATTGCGCAGACCCGGAGACGGATAGATTACTGGCAAATTCCGGCTCCACACCCGCCAACTCAAATGAAGCGTTGTCGCCGTCAAGACTAAGGCTTCCGGCACCCACAAAGTCCGCCTGCGCAATCTCCAGCAACAATCTCTGCACCTTTAACCGAGGCACGATGCCGAAAATAATTGCAGGATCAATCTCACTATCGGCCGCTGTTGGGAGCGGTGTCGAAGTAGCCTGCGGTGCATTAACCCGAACATGCAGACTACCTATGTCAACCGCATCAAGCGATTGAGCCAACAACCCCTTCAAGTGATAACTGACAACAATATCGTCCGCGATAATGAGAACATCACCAACGCCACCAGCCACTGTGTCTATCCGAATTCCATCCAGCCCGGGGCGCTGCAACGACAACTCCTGCAGATCGAACCCTTGTGCACCGGCAAGCTCGAACGCCACCCGGACAATAATCGCAGTGGAGAAAAAATACAGGCCGACAAGCAGCATCGCCAGCAACACCACCCCGCCTGCCAACCATCGGCTCATGGGTCTGCGCGGACCTTCGCTTTATCCCCGAACCCTAAAACCCTTGTCATCTGGTTTCCTGTCATGTCGCCTACACCAGTGATGATGATGACAAGTTAACTTTCTCATTCGAATCAATCCAGCACTGCCTTTGGCAGGCTGCCGATCAGGATAGCGAGCAACGCTCATTGACATCGCCGATACTCCGCTAACCTAATGTCTGAATCTGTTCGACGCTGCGGATCGTGGCGTCTGTATCTTGTTCACGCGCCTTTCTGGAGTTTCCTTCAACGTCTTAAGAAGCTGCCCGGCGTCTGACCGGCCTTAATTCTTGATTCCGGATGACCACCAGTGGCCAATACCCAGTCGTAACGTGCCAGAACCAGCCGAGCACCACAATGGCCAGAGCCGTGTAGAGCCCGAGTTGCCAGCTTTTCCTTCGAACAGAGAGCACCAGCACGATGAGCACATCGAGAATAATGCCGGTCAACACCAGGGCTCGTGAGATTGTCCGTTCCGTCATTGGCGTTCTGCCTGCATCTGGATCGCGAGTCAGACGACTGCGCCAGATAGCTACTGCTTACGAAAGATTGCTGCGTCGGGGGTACCTGACCTGTTTGCAGCGGGGACGTGGTTGGCAGGCGTCACAAATCAGTTCGAAGGTACTCATAGCCTGTCGCTTCCTGAGCAAGTCCCATTCGGACGGCTGGATATTGAAATGGGGATCGGTTTTCGGATGTGCTTCTCAGGTCGCGCATTTACTGTTACCGACAACGATGGGATTGATAGCGCAACTGGAAAAACCTTCTTTCTGCGCCTGGGTCGAATCGATAAACTCCTGAGCGATGACTACACCCTAGGTCACCGACGATCTTGCATCGAGACTATCGTCCATCCTCTTGGGTTTTGGCCGGCGTGTTTTGTAGAACTTGCGCACATCATGCTCAGCGTGATGATCAAGGATCATATCAAGGGTGTGGCCAATGCTGGTGCAGGTACGTATCTGCGCCAGGCGGTTCCAGGCTGCACGTTCACCCTCCAGCACTAACTCTGATATCTCTTGCGATGTCAGGTGTCCCAGCAGTTTCTGCGGATTCACAAAATTGAATGACGGCACAATATTGATGTCCCCAGTGTAATCCTGGGCGGCAACCGAATAGAACATGTTCATGGCGCGACTGACTTCAGGCCAGGGTCGCAGGTACCGACGAGTAAACTCTTCACCGGAGCGCAGCATTTCCCTGCCTGCATGCCGCCATACTGATTTGGCTCCTTTGGGTAGATAGATATACTTGTCCGCACTCATCATCGCCAGCGCCAGAGGATTAGCCTGACTGACAATATAGTGGTTAACCCCGTAAAGCCGCGCCAGACGCTTTGCCGGCAGGTCGTCGGTCACCGCGCCATCCACCCAGCGTCGATTCGGCAGATAGGGTTGCGGCTCGCCATAAACGTTTTTGGCCATCAGCATCACTGGCGGGAAGACACCTGGAACCGCACAGGATGCAAGCACCGCAGTACGAATGAACACGTTGGGTGAGGTAATCGCATTCATCAGCCTCGACGTCTGGTGCTGCTCTGCAGGCGCGATAGTCACGTTCAGACAACGACCGGTCTTCTCAAAAGCTTCCTGGAAGGTCATGTCCGGGATCGTGATCTCCAGCATGGCCATCACATCGTTGATGTCCATCTGGCGTCGGGTCATGGTCCAGGCGGTTTCATCAAACTGCTGTGGATTGCCGAGCAGATTGTCACCGGCAAACAGCTCATCAAGCTCGTTATCACTATGACAGCCCAGCACCGCTGCAACCACTGATCCCGCACTGGAGCCTGAAATAACCCCCGGCAGCAGTTTCTGCTGGAACAGGGTTTTCACAACACCCGTGTGAAAATGTCCCAGGGAACCCGCACCGCTCAACATCAGTGCAGCGCGGCCAAAGCAGTGGCTGGCGCGATCAAAAAAGTCCATTTTCTCTTCAAAAGAAATCTGATCCTCTGGGACCGACGAGATGTGTCTCAGGGAGTCGGAAATGGTGTTCACATAGTCTTCAATCAGTTTTTTGGTGCCCAGCTTGGCGCGCTCGTAAAGCTCCGATTTGCCCATGCCCCCCATGTTCCCATGAATGCCTTCATTCAAGGCAAAGAGCAGACCCACATCGTCGTCACGCGCGCGCAGATCCTGCAGAATCTGCGTCCGTTGCTTGATATTCGCCCAGTCATAGTTTTCCGCGCGTTCAGTCTGCCGCCACTTTTCTGCGCCGCTGCGCAAGTCATGTTGCTCAGCCAAAGCACGCCAGGTTTCAAAGTCTTCAGCGGTTGCCATGTCCTTTTCGAGGCGGGCAAGACTGGTATCCCAAACTCTGCGTTCTGTTGTGTCACTCATGCCTATCTACCTCCGCGGAAGGATTCCCGATAACTCGTTTTACAGCGCAGGATATCGGACTTCCGGCAATTGGGTAAGACTGCGTGCATATAGCGAATGTTGCTATAACGTATGCTCGAGAGACCAACCTTTTGACCTGAAACACCAGTGTTTGAGTTCAGACCAGGCACCGGTGCCTTGCCGCGCAGAGAGAGCGCGGCACCTGCAGCCCAAGCCTGATAACAGGCTAATGCACGCCCGACCAACAGTTCATAAAAGACGTTCGATAACAATGTTATAAAGTAACTTGATTCAACCGAGTTTTGGTGTTTCTCTGTCAACAGGTGAACAAAGTCACTCCAAAGGAGGGCGTCATGGAATTAACCCTACTGCGCAACACCCAGGCCGGCACTTCAACAGGTCAAACCGATGCGTTTATTGATCTTCCCAAGGATGTAACCCTGGTAATTCATGCGCCCCCGGCAGATCTTGAAGGTGGGGTCTGGAATATCATAGGTGCCCGATTTTTCAAGGTCGATACGAGCAATATAAAGAAACAGAAATCCACCGCAATTGAAGCGTTGGACAACTCGTCTCTCGCGACATTTCAATCAGTATTTTTGAAGAACAATGGTAAGCCAAAGAAACTCCCGGACGGGATAATTGTCACCATCGGCACCGATCAACAGCTCATGACGGTGACCGATTCGGGTCCTGCCAAACAGAACTATGAGTTTCTGGTCTGGATTCAAAAAGACGGTAACGAGAACATTAACGACTATGTCGATCCCGGAGTACGCAACGACTGGAACTAGGTATCAGTCGATAAGCTTACGGACCATGGGTGCAACGGTTTATACCCTGCGTTGGTAATTTCGTTGCGGCGCGCCAGCGCTTCATTTGTGCGACCGACGCGAGTCAGAGCGCGAACCCAGAGTTCCTGCAGTTGATGTTGTTTTGTAGCACCGGCCAAGGGTGTAAGAAAGGCGATGACTTGATCTGCGGTGACAGTCCGGACAACGTTATCCTGATAAGCGCTATGATGACCCAGTTGCTCAAACGCCAACAGCGCATGAGCGATGCTGATCGGCATCACGCCGGCAACCGCGACCTCGTCTGAGAGTTCATCGATCAGTGCCAGACCCTTGGCCATCGATTCATTAGCCTGACTCTGTTGGCCCAGTGAATCCGCTTCTAAAGCGATCATTCGATGGGTATCGATCAGAGCCTGGCGGGTACTCCAGTCACCAGACTCCTGGGCATGTAGTCGTGTCAATGTTGCTGCGTGGGACAGAAGCTCTGCCTGGCGGTTCGGATTTTCCAACTGGCGCGCCATGCCAAGTTCCAGGACCAGCAATTCAGTTTTGATAAAATCTTTCTGGTGCCGTTTGTTGTCTCGGTCTGCTTCTGACAATTCTTTGCGCAGGGCCAGAGCTTGCGCTAACTGATGTTCTTTTGGATCGGCGCTGATCGTGCGCAGCGCGGTTGTATATTCCTTCATCAGTGCCGATGACACTCTGAATTTAAAGCCGGCATGATTCGGTGCGATCGCCAGAAGGTCTTCCCAGAGCGTCCGGCTCTGTTGGTAGTGGTCCAGTGCTTCAAAGCGTTTTCCGTCCAGGATCGCGATATCTCCCAGCCATGCTTGTACATCCGCGATATCGGGTCCGAACTGGAGGGGGGCGGAGTCCTGTTTTTCCAGTTCTTCCAGCAGTGCCAGTTCGCGTTCAAATGAGGTACGAGCTAACACCAGGTCGCGGGTTCTAACCGCCAGAGCACCCATGTTGTGGTGGCCATAGCCGACCTCGCGTAACCAGTCGGGGTTGGAGGGAGCAAACGCCAGGAGCCCTTCACTGGTTGCCAGGTAACGCTGCCACCAGTCCCTGGTCGCACTGAAGTTACCCTGCTCCCAATTGGCGAAGCCGACCCAGTATTCTGCCTGTCCTCTCTGAAACAGCAGCTGCGGGTCTGTTCCATCGAGTTCAACCAGTTCAGCAGCACGTTGGTAGGCTTCTTGGAATGCGTCCACAGCGCCGTCGTATTGCAGCTGCTGTAATCGAATCGACCCGACATGGGTTAAGACACGGGCGCGTTGAGCCAGGCCCAGCGTTGTCATATCGCTGTCTTGGACCTTACTGAAATAATCCATAGCTTGGTCAGCGACGTCTTCGAGGACGTGTAGTTGGCCCAGGGGTTCGAGGCTTTCGCGTAGATCTCCAACCATAAACTCGAGCAGGTTTTCTGCTTGCTGGCGCCGTTGTTCAGCATCCTGACTTGCGAGATATGCGATTGTAGCAAGCGTCAGCGAAAACCCCATGCCAATGATCGAGAACGTGGTGATGACAGCCATGCGACGATAGCGCCGTTGATTCTCGCGGCGTATGAGTAGGTCGTAATCGACCCCCAGCAATCCTGCAATCAGTTTGAGCAGGGCGCGTTTGCGACCATCTCCGATGCCACGAGCATCAGCAGCAATGAGATCAACCCGTTCGTCTGTTAGCTCACCATCCGGGTTGACGCGATAGCGCAAGGCGGGTGCGTAACACTGGGCCAGACCGTCTGCTTTTGGATCACCTGAAACAATTAAAACAAAGACGCAGCCTTCGCCGTGGATGCGTATGAATTCGATTATCTCCTGATTTACCCAGCGCGATTGAGCTGCTGCGGGCGAAGCGATCACTATAAGAGCGGCTGATTGTGCTAGCGCGTCGCGAATCGTGGTGGTTAGATCGGTTCCAGAGGCCAGTTCATCGCGGTCTCTGAATATCGGCGCCAGGCGTTCTGAAACCGGGCCAAAGCGTCCAGTTTGACCAAGAATATGTTTTGGTGTGCGGTAACGTTCGAGACGACGAAACAGCCAGCGTGCCCAGGCACGATCCTGGTGGCTGTAGCTGATGAACGCTCGATAGCGAAAATCGTTTACGGTGTCAGCCATTCTTGCTCCGTCTACGCGCGTCAGGGCATAGCTTGCCTGGGTATTATGACCGAGTCATTGGAAGTGGGAGCTATGGATAACTCGGGGTCTCTTGTGTACTTACCTGGTCAGCTACTACGCACACTACGCATAAGTTGAGTGTTTGCAACTTTGTACCGATTAAGAAGATGTGGAGGCGAGTATTTAAATTTGGAAATATCAATCACAGCCGGTTCAAGTCAGACCCGATGCCTTGGCGCTGCGCGCGCAGCACCTGGTCCTGACTCCAAGCCTAGTGGTGGGTCATACAGGCAATAAAAATCAGCTCAGTAGCCGCTCGATATGGTCAAGCATTTCGTTTTCATCCAGGAAATGCATGATCATGGCGACACCCCAGCCACCCCACATAAGCCAGGTGATGATGGTGTCCCATCGCCTGAGTGGGTGTGCTTCTTCGGGATCTTCCTCACCCCAGGGCGTGTCCGACATGTTTGGCACAAACATCGTCACATACAGCGTCGCAAAGAACGCAGCTGTGCCAATCAGAAAGGGAACCAGAAACCAGGGGTTACTCATAAAGTTCGACTCACCACGTACAACAGTTCATATGCAACGCGCCCGTCACAGGTCAACCAGGCGCTTGTTTGGGTAGAAGGCCAGCATCAGCTGTTCCTTTATCGATAGCGGCACAGCCTTTCCGGCACCGGTCTGTTTGACATCGCTTGTCTTATCGCCGCAGTAGGTACCAAAGACGCGGTCCCAGAGGATAATGTAACAACCATAATTCGAGTCGCTCTGCCGGCGGTTCAGCGAATGGTGCACGTGATGCTGAGGCGCAGTCGCGAAAACCCAGTCGTAGACAGGTAGAGACTTAAGCGGCAGGTTCGAGTGATTGAACTTACCGTTCCACATGCCAAATGCTACAGAAACTGCAATCACCTCGTCGCTCGCGCCGATGAACGCCAGAACCATCACCCGACCCAGCGAAAGCGCCAGGTATTCAAGCGGATGCGTGCGGTCGCCTCGAAGGAAACTCATTTTCGTTATGTGGTGATGCGTTGCGTGCATGCGCCACCAGAACAGTACCTCGTGCTGCACACGGTGCAGCCAGTAATAAGGAAAAGCCGTACAAATGCGTATAAAGATGACCGCACCAAACAGACCGAGGACAGTGGTCGGCTCGACACTGAGTTCCAGGAAGGTCCGATCACGGATAGCGCTGAAACCCTCGGAGAGCGGCGTGCGATACATGTCGGTTATCAACGGCGCCCAGAGGAACGCACCCATCGCAAGCCAAAAGCCATCCTCAGCCAGTTCGGATGGTTTGAGCTTCCAGTCGCTTCGGCCCCAGCGCCGCTCGGCCCAGACGAATATTGGGATCGGCAGGAAGATCATCACCAGGGCGAAGAGCATTCGGTCTTCCTCAGCCCAAACGCCGCTGAGCAGCGTGACGGCGACGAGGAGTGGTGCACCCATCGCGATGGTTGGCTGCAACAACGTCCAGAAAATATCTTTCCAGGTCCTGGTCGTCGAACTGGCTTCTGTGCTCTGCGACAGCTCAACAGGGTCCAGTGAATTCTCGCTCATGAAAACCTCTCCATTTCTTACTTCGAGTCAGGTCATTTTTTTCTTCCACTGTTTTGCAAAAAACAGACCAAACCTCATCAGAACAAAACTGACCCTCTCTGCCCGCTGTGTTCTCTATACATGGTAAGCGAACACTATCGCCCTTCTATGCATAAATACTGTAGAAGAGCACTCCATGCTTACAAACGTAAACTTCCGTTTCGAAGCGAATCAATGGTGCTTTCCACAAGGAAAGATGGAACAGGGAAATCAATGTAGCACCGACATGACGCATCGGCGCATCGAAGTGATACATTCTAGTGCAAGTTAGGGTTGGCACGAATGCACCCGTAACACTGAAGATCCACCCGGCGTACAGAAACTGCCGTTTCCAGACCTATGTAAACTAAACAGCTCACATGGCACGTCATTTGCTCACTTAACAAACACCCGAGCGCCGCAAGAGCCAAGCGTACCCGAAATAAATAGCAGGAACAGAAGTACTGACATGACGACCGAGAATAATAATCCCGCGGAGGACAACGAGATCCCACCAGTAGCCCGCTTTTTCGGGCGCGCTGTATCTGAGTGGGTCGTGTACAGCTTTATCATCTTCAGCGTTATTGCCGTGATCTTCGGCTCTAAGGTTGGCGGCGAGCGTGACGCCCAGGCCGAGCGCGCCATGGCAACGCTGGGTGCACTCACCGAGGCGGCGGAAAACAAAGCCGCCGCAGGCCAAGCCCTGGTCTGCGACGACACGCTCCTTGATCCCGAACTGCTCGCGAATGACTACCTGACACTCTCCATTGCGCAGGCCCCGATTGATGAAGAGAACAAGTCTTTAGGTTACGGCCCGGCGCTTTATGTCAGCGTCGTGGAAAAGGAAGTGTCGGGAGACACCTGGGACACCGCGAAGCGACTTATGGACCTCGTCAAGGAAGCGGGTGAGAAAGAAGCGCAAGCGAGTGAGGACCGTTCTGGGCGCATCATCGCCGCAAACGTCGCATCGGATGAAGATGAAGGCGCCGATTCAGAAGGAGACAAGGAGCCCAAGAACCGTCTGCGCGAGGTACGTAAGAAGGGTTTCGGCGAGGATGAGGAATACCTGCGGTACTACATCCTTGCTTCTGAGGTTGCGATCTGCAGTCGCGCTACTGCCTCATAGAAACACAAAGTATTTCGGTAAAACTCAAGCGCGGTCACGTGTAGGAATTCTTTTATAGGCAGACGCCGGACTTTCACTCAACTTGAAGCTAATATGCAGCATCAATATTGTGCAGCAGGATCGATTTTTTGAATCAACGTTTCGGTAAGCGCGATCTTGTGCTGTATCTCTTCATGTTTGCTATCCTGGCAAGCATCTGGTTAGCCATGGTTCAGATTGACCGACAATGGCTGTTCATCGCCCAGACTCAAGACAAAATCGATAATCAAACCCGGGATATCGCCGACCTGCAAAGACAGATTCGTCGCGGTGGCACCCTGTCGGGCAACGTAATCGACTCGACGACCAACAGCGAATTGCCTAATGTCTGGCGCGGCTTTGCGCGCGCACAGGCAGCGACGCAGGCCAGCGATTACGCCAGAGGGGATTGGTTGATTAACAGCTTTTCAGCGCAGGTTCCAACCTTGACGCCCTACATGTCCGGCGACACCTACGCCACGCGTGTGCAGGAATGGGTGCTGGATACCCTGGTTACCCGAGATCCTGAAACGCTGGAGTGGCTGCCGCTGGTGGCAGAATCCTGGCAGACCTCCAGCGACGGATTGCAGATCACCTATAAAATTCGGGACGGGGTGGTTTTTTCCGATGGGGTGCCGCTCACCGCTGAGGACGTTGTCTTCAGCTGGCAACTGATCATGGACGAACGCATCGCGGCACCTCGAGCGCGCGCCTATTTCTCCAGGATTGTTGACGTTACGGCACAAGGGTCCAACGTGACATTTCATTTCGATGAGCCCTATTTCTTATCGTTTGCGCTAACCGGCTCCATGCAAATTCTGCCCAAACATTTCTATGGCAAATATCTCGAGAGCGTGCAAACCGCCGAACAGTTCAATACGTCTACCGGATTGTTAATGGGTTCTGGGCCCTATCAAATGGTGTCGCCCACGGACTGGAAGCCCGGTGATCTGATAGAGCTGGTACGCAATGAACGCTACTGGGGTTGGGTAGCCGCACCCTTTGATCGCCGTATATGGAAAACCATTTCGTCGGATGCGGCTCAACTTACCGAATTCAAGAACGGCGGCATTGATGTGTACAGAGCATTACCGTTGGAATATCGCGACCTCATCAAAGATGACTTCGTGACCAACCGCGCTCGGTCATACGAGTATTACAGCCCGGTTGGAGGCTACATCTATATTGGCTGGAACAACAAGAGGCCAGATGGCGAGTCGCTTTTCGCAGATCCGCGAGTACGTGAAGCCATGACTTATCTGACAGATCGACAGCGTATCGCGGAAGAAATTCTCTTAGGGTACGCTTTGCCCATCAACGGCCCGTTTAATCCGTTCGGCCCTCAAGCGAATCCGGATTTACCAACCCGCGAGTTCAATCCGGCAAAAGCTAAAGCCTTGCTGGCAGCTGCGGGATTCGAAGACCGAGACGGCGACGGCGTGCTGGAGTCTGCTTCGGGCAAGCCATTCTCTTTCAAATTGACGTATCCATCTGCCAGCGATACCTACAAACGGTTCATGCTGTTACTCAAGGACCTGTACGTGCGCGCAGGGATACTGATGGAACCCGATCCGGTTGATTGGCCTGTGTTGATCACGCGGCTGAACAACAAAACCTTTGACGCGGTGAGTCTGGGATGGGGCGGCAACCTCGAAATCGACCCGTATCAGAATTTGCACTCCTCGCAAACCGAGCCTGGCGGAGACAACTTTATTAACTATGCGAATCCGGAACTGGATCGCCTGATTGAGGACGCCCGCAAAGAGATGGATCACGATGCGCGCATGGCTTTGTGGCACAAGGTGCACGAGCTGTTGTGGGCGGACCAGCCGTACACCTATCTGTTTCGCACCAAATCATTGGTATTCATCGACCGTCGGATCAAGAACGTGAAAGTGGAAGAAGCGACGGGTCTTAACGAGGGTGGCCGTTGGCGCGTGCCTCTGGAGTGGTATGTACCCAGCGCACAGCAGAAGTACGCCAATTGATCAATTACATTATCCGCCGCACGCTGCTGATTCTGCCTACGCTGCTTGGTATCAGCCTGCTGGTGTTCAGCATTATGGCCGCTGCACCCGGAGGCGTGGGCGCAAACCTGCTGAGCCAGGCCGGTGATTTACGCGCCGAGGAGCGGGCCGCGATGGAACGCTATCTCAACGAACGCTACGGGCTGGACCAACCGCTGCCCGTACAATACGCGCGCTGGCTGAACAAGGTTTCTCCTGTCGGTTTTCGTGTTGACGAAAATCGTGAACCCCAGGGATTTGGTTTCAAGGCACCGGACCTGGGCACAAGTTTTGCGAAAAACCGACCGGTCACCGAGCTGATTGCCGAAGCGCTGCCGATTACGCTGTTAATGAACGGGCTGTCGATACCTCTGGTGTTTGTGCTGTCCATCATTATGGGGGTCTATACCGCGCAATTCAGAGGCCAGGCGCTGGATGTGGGTATTGGTACCGCAAACCTGGCGTTGTGGTCGATTCCAACGATCTGGATGGGTGTGGTGCTTATTGGGCTGCTGGCCAGCGAAGAATATCTGAACCTGTTTCCTACCTCGGGCCTGGAGAGTCTGCGGGCGGACCGCTGGACGTTTCTGCCGGTGCAGACCGCTGATGGCTGGCAACGTGGATATCTGCTGGACCTGGCATGGCACCTGGTATTGCCCGTGATCTGTTTGTCTTATACCGGTTTTGCGTTTCTTACCAAACTCACCCGCTCGTCCGTGCTTGAAAACCTGCAGGCAGATTATGCGCGAACCGCGCGAGCGAAAGGCGCACTGGAACATACAGTGTTGTGGCACCACGTGCTGCGCAACAGCCTGCTGCCACTCATCACTGTGGCCGCTTCAATTTTGCCGGCGTTACTCGTGGGGTCCGTGATCGTCGAATCTATTTTCTCTATAGATGGCATGGGTCGCCTGGCGGTTCAGGCGGTGCAGTTACGCGACCGGGAGGTGGTGCTGGCAATTACCCTGATCACATCGCTTTTGAGCCTGGTCGCTTACCTTATTGTTGATATCTGCTACGCAGCAGCCGACCCCCGAGTCAGTTTCGAATGAGTAATGCGAATCATACAGGCGCTGCCGAATCGGTCATCCACGAATCCTATTCTCATCGTGTGGGCCGCGACACCTTCTCGCAAACTGGCGCTCGGGTAGGATTGGCCTGGGTTGGCCTGGTGGCGATCCTGGCGGTGTTTGCTCCATTCATCGCCAACTCACATCCGTACCTGATCTTTACTTCCGATGGTTGGCAAAGCCCGCTGTTGCGGCATCTGGACTGGGCTGACGTTTCCCTGCTGGTGATGTTTGTCACTACCCTGGGTGCCTGGCGACTACGCTATCGCTTTAGCACCGGTCGGATTTTTCTTGCGCTGATCGTACTAGCGCTACTGACAAGCATCGGAACGATGACGTTAGTGAGCCCGCCCAGCGCGGTGATCTATGATCAATATCGAACAGGCCTTGCAGAGGGTACTATCCAGTCCGCCGTGTTAGCCCCGATTCCGTTTTCGCCCACAGACCGTTCCAGAGACAATCCGGTTTCGCTGCAGCCCCCCGACAGTGTGCACTGGTTCGGTACGGATGAAGATGGCGCCGATGTCCTGAGCCGGATGATTCACGCTTGTCGGATTGCGCTGGCAATTGGCTTGATGTCCACCGGCATTGCGCTGTTGATCGGTATTCTATACGGCGGCGTCATGGGCTTTTTCGGTGGCTGGCTGGATATTGCGATGATGCGTTTTCTGGAAATGTTCGAATCCATCCCAGCGCTGTTCCTGTTGCTGATGGTGGTGGCTTTTTTTGGTCGCAACATTTATCTGATCATGATCGTTATCGGTTTGACCTCATGGCCTGGGTTTGCGCGCTATCTACGGGCTGAGTTTCTCAAGTTGCGCAATCAGGACTATGTGCAGGCAGCGCAGGCCGCGGGTTTGCCGCTGTGGTCGGTTCTGTTCCGGCATATGCTGCCCAACGGTGTGGCCCCCCTGCTGGTGGCGGCAAGTTTCAGTATTGCGTCAGCCATTCTGGCTGAAGCGACCTTAAGCTTTCTGGGCTTAGGATTGATCGACGAGCCCAGCTGGGGTGGCATGCTCAATCAAGCGGTGGGGCCAGGCGGTACGTTTGCGCTGTGGCTGGCTACTTATCCGGGGTTGGCCATATTCCTCACCGTCTTTTCTTACAACCTGATCGGGGAGGCTTTGCGTGACGCCATCGATCCCCATCTGGAGCAGAAGCCTTGAGCCCGCTACTGACCGTTGAGAATCTCGTGACAGAGTTTCACTCCGGCGAGAATAAAACCATCGCGGTCAACGATGTATCCTTTGAGATTCACCCCGGGGAAACCGTTTGTCTGGTGGGTGAATCCGGCTCAGGCAAAAGTGTCACCGGATTATCCATTCTCGGACTGTTGCCCTCTTCTGCCACACACCCATCGGGTAAAGTGTTGCTCGCCTGCACCCCCGATGAACAACCAAGCGGCGGTGCTGGCGATGATCTGAACAAATCACTGTCGCTGCTTGGCGCGCCTGAAACGCTGCTGCAAACCGTCCGCGGCGTGCGCATCTCGATGATCTTCCAGGAACCTCTGACCTGCCTGAACCCGGTGTTAACCATCGGCGAGCAGATCATGGAGGCACTGGAATTACATCTGGGGCTGCAAGGCGAGGCGGCGCGACAGCGGGTACTGGAGCTGCTCACCCAGGTGGAGATTCCCGACCCTGAACAACGCCTGGATGACTACCCCCATCGGCTTTCAGGTGGACAGCGGCAACGGGTGATGATTGCTATGGCGCTCGCCTGCGAGCCGGACCTGCTGATTGCCGATGAGCCAACAACCGCCCTGGATGTGACCATTCAAGCACAGATACTGCGATTGATGGCGAATCTGCAGAAGCAACATCACACGGCGCTGCTGTTCATTACCCACGATCTCAGCCTGGTTTCAGAAATCGCCAACCGGGTGATTGTGATGCAGAAAGGCCGCATCGTAGAAAGCGGTGGTCTCAAGCAGGTGCTTGGTTCGCCCAGTCATCCATACACACGTGAGTTACTGGCTGCATTGCCGAGCAATTTACCGCGGCTGGAACCGATGGCACCCCGGCAAGGGGCGCCGTTGATAGAAATTCGCAACCTGCGCGTTTACTTCCCAATCCGCAAAGGCATTCTGCAGCGTCATGTTGACGATGTGAAAGCCGTCGATGATGTCTCGCTGGATATTCACAAAGGCCGGGTGCTGGCTCTGGTGGGTGAGTCGGGATCGGGTAAAACGACACTGGGGCGCGCACTGCTGGGTCTTGTGCCGACCACCTCAGGTTCGGTTATGTATGAACAAACCGATCTCAGCCAGCTCAACCGGCGGAAGTTCAAACCATTCCGTAAAGATCTGCAGGTGGTTTTTCAGGATCCGCAGTCTTCACTGAACCCAAGATTATCCATCGCCTCAATTCTGACCGAACCCATGGCTGTGCATCAAATAGGCGCAAACCAGCAAGAGCGGCTTGATATGGCCGCGCAATACATGGAAAAAGTTGGGCTTGACCCGTCGATGCTGAGACGCTATCCCCACGAGTTTTCAGGCGGACAGCGACAGCGAATTGGCATTGCCAGGGCCATAGCCCTGCAACCACGTTTTATCGTCTGTGACGAGGTCACCAGTGCGCTGGATGTCAGTGTACAAGCAAAAATACTGCTATTGCTTGAGGAGTTGAAACGCGAGTTTCATCTCACCTATCTGTTCATCACGCACAATATTGATGTGGTGCGTTACTTTGCAGACGACGTAGCCGTAATGCATCAAGGCAAGCTGGTGGAGCAAGGCAGCGCAACGGCTGTGTGCGAGCATCCGCAACACGCGTATACCCAGAAGCTGTTAGAGGCAGTGCCGAAGTTCCGTTTTTGAGGTGTTTGGTTAGCCGCCTTCTGTAAGAGTTAGTTTTGCAGGATCACGCGACTCACAGACCAAAAACCCGCAATGTCCGCACAAGGGGGAATCACGAATTCAGCTCTAAAGAGTATAAGTCTCCTGTTGGGTGCCTCCTAGAGCTGGTCGCCGTGCAGGAAGACTAAACGGAAACTCATGCGGGCGTGGATTTCACAACTCAGCAGATTTCCTTGATGGCTGTGCGATGTGTTTTACCGATCTCATTGGTGCGACCCATCAGGGTCACGCTGCTGATCCCACGGTTAGTCGCTGCAGTTCGACTAGCCGCCATCCAGGCATCGACACGGCTTTCCCCAGATGCCATGCGCGCAAGGTAGTCTTCCCCAATGGAATCATAAAGCGCGTAGTCTTCTTGACCGATCTGGCTGAGCAACGAACAAAGACAGCGTTAATCAACACGAATTACGATGCCCAAGCACGAGTCCATCACACGCTCAGCCGCCGGGAAAAATCCACCCATCAATCCCCACTCTATATTTTTTAAGAACACGCGAATCTGATCGATCTCTAATTCCGAAAATTTCAGATTTCCGAGCCAGATGGAACCGACCATAGCCACTGCACAGGCGTTCTCGCCTTCGAATTCACGAATGTCGGATAAACGCCTGCTCTAAGATCAGCTCTATGTACACCTGCGAACGTTTACGCAATCTCCTCTAATACGTCCAATGCCTGCCAATCATCAATCGCGCCGAGCAGCCGCTTGCCAATATGTTCAAATAATGCAAGCGAGCGGATGTTGGTCTGGTCCAGGTTTGCACCGCCGATGATTAAGATCGGGGTGATCCCCAGCAAAGCCAGACGGAAGTCCGCGCGCAGGTCCTGCATGTTGTAGTCGTTGACACCTTGTGCCTTAAGCCCTGCCAGAAACTCCTCCAGCATGGGTTTCTCGATTTGTCGTCGCAAGGGGGCGTCGATGTTAGTGGCCAGCAAATACGCCAGATCATTTGCGGGGTTGTTAATCTGCATAAGTTGCCAGTCGATGATCGCAAGCTCCCCGCGACTTCCGAAGAACAGATTTTCTACCCGGAAATCCCAGTGAGACACCACTTGCACGCCGCTGCCTATAGCGTTGCGCACGCGCGCCATATTTGTGCTGATCGTGGCCAGCGTGCTCTCAGCATGTTCCGGCCACCGGGCTTGGAAGCGGGTCATCAGTGGGGCAACGCATGTGGCGCAGTCGTCGGGCAGTGACGCGAACTCAGGCGCGTCCACGCTCTTCAGCCAATCGAATCGGTCCTTCGGTGGGTTATTCCAATAGGTACCCGCCAGGCAAGCCAACGCTTTAACGGCGGTGCGGATCTCCCTGGGTTGTGCGCCTTTGATCTGGTCCGGAGAGTGCCAATCGGTGAACGCTTCCATCACCACAACAACGCGTTCACGGACGTGTTCCATCATGCTTACGTATACCTCAGGCGTGCGCAGGTCGACCTCATCGGCCATATGGGCGTAGAAATTAACCTCGGTTTCATAATGCCCATAAGTCATGGCAACCGCATGCATCTCTGGCAGGGGTGCCTGCAATTTGATGACCACCGACCGGATTTCACCTGAACGGCAGGTCAATCGCGCCAGCAGCAACGCGGACAACTGGCCTATGCCGTCGCCCATGTGTCTGAGTGTCACATTACGAATAGGGTCACTCCTGAATGCCGGATGTGGCGATAGCGTGGCAAGCACCCAGTGTTCATCCACCTCATGTCTATCGGCGGGGAAACTGTGTGGGGCGACCAGCTGAGTGATGTGCTGTTCGGGTGTTATGGCGTGCTGCAGCTCCATGATTGAATTCCGACTTTGCTGTTGGTGAGCAGGCATGCTCCAACAATGGCGGGGCGGCGTCCGGAGGGAGTTCTGATGTTCCCCTGATGGATGTCTTAGGTCCTTAAATATCAGATACCTAGGCACTCTTATGCGTTGCAGGTACTATCTGCACGATGCAGGAAAACACCGTTGCGAAATCTGTTGTAAACGACTCTGGTGGTGCGCCCTCTGCCGAGCAGATCGGCAGGGTGCGGGCGGATTACGAGACGCATACGGTGACCGGCCCGGACGGTACGATCACACTTGAACCCAAGGTGATGGCGGTGCTCAGAGTGCTGTCTGCCCTCGCGCCGGCGGTTGTATCCCGCGAGTCTTTAATCGAACAGGTCTGGGGTGGTGAATCTGGCGGTGACGAAAGCCTGTCACGCGCCATCTCGCTGTTGCGCAAAGCGCTGGGGGACCGGCGAGGCCAGCACAACTACATTGAAACGATCCCGCGGAGGGGTTATCGACTTGTGGCTGCTGTGTCACCCATTGAAGATGTGGCACTTCAGACAATGGCCACTCGTTCGGGCAGATCGCGGCTTTCTTGGATGGTCACTGCCGGTTTGGTGGTGATCGCGCTGACCGGCTTCTTCGGGTTAAAGCTGGCGAGCGATGATGGGTCCGCCGTTTTAACGCCATCACCCTCACGCTCGGTAGCCGTGCTTCCCTTTGCCGATCTCAGCCCGGCAGCTGACCATGCCTATTTTGCCGCAGGGCTGGCGGAAGAGATTCTCAATGCCCTCACCAATATTCCTGAACTGCAGGTGGCAGGCCGGACCTCCAGCTTCGCCTATGCTGAGAAAGACGCTGACATCCGTCAGATTGGCAGTGAGCTGGGCGTCAACTACGTGTTGGAAGGCGCCGTGCGCAAGGACGGCGAACAACTGCGCATTACGACTCAGCTGGTTCGGGCGGACAGCGGCTATCACGTATGGTCCCGCACCTTCGACGGCCAGGTGGGCAGCGTATTCGATTTCCAGGAGAACATTGCTCGGGCCATTGCAGATGCACTGGAAATCAGCCTGGCACCCGAGCGTACAGCTCGCCTGGTACCGGCACTGACACAGAGCCAGCCCGCTTACGACGCTTTTTTACAGGGCCGAAGCCTGGCTCGCCGGTTTGGGCCCGAAGGCAAGCAGCGCGCAGCGGCGTTGTTGGAGCAAGCAGTACAACTTGATCCGCAGTTTGCGATTGCCTGGGCTGAACTCGCGCGCACCCAGCTGTTTCTGCCCGTTTCTTTTCCGGAACTGCGACGGACGCCATATGTTGCGGCAGCCCGTGATGCCGTCCAGCGTGCGTTGGCTATTAATCCAGGCCTTGCCATGGGCCATTACGTGAATGGTCTGATCCAGGAATTTGAACTGCAATACGACGATGCGCTGGCTTCCTTTAGCCGGGCTCATCAGCTCGACCCCGGTAATCCGTTTCTGATGTCGCGATATGGGTACTTTCTTACCCTTATCGGTCATCCTGACGAGGGTGCGGAGCTTATGACCCGGGGCCTTCGCCTGGACCCAACTGATGCGGCTGCGCTTGGCAATCTGGGTGTAGCCAGGCTGGCACAGGGTGACGTTGCTGCTGCTTTACAGTTAATGCAGCGAAGTTACGACCTGGGCTTTGCGCCGATGGGGCCCATGCTTGCGAAAATACTCTGGGCACACGGGGACAAAGCCGCGGCCACAGACATCTGGCTGCAAAGCCGCGAATCGCTGGCCGGTCGCTACCTGCCCGAGCTGGAAACTGAGGAAGGCTGGGCACGCCTGGGTCGATTAACCCTTGAAGGGGATGCAGTGGAGCGTGAGTGGGTCACCGATGTGTTGCAGCGCTATTTTGCCCAGCCGGATGCGCGTGCCAATGCATACAGGCTGGGGGTGATGGTGGATGCCGGCCTCACCGCAGAGGCTTTTCTTCTGTTACAGGAAAAACCCTTTCCCATCAGTGCTGGGTTTGTGGCCTGGGTATGGGTCGCCGTGGGTGAATCAGCCGCGCCCAGCACAGATGCCGGTTTTCCGCAGTTCGCCAGAAATATCGGGTTGGTTGAAGCCTGGGAGGAATTCGGCTGGCCGGCACGCTGCACCAACCTGCCTGCAGTAGGCGAAAGCGAGTTGCAATTCTGGTGTGAGTGAGCAGATTGAAACAGGGGCGCAGGAAGCCATAAATTTTCAACCTGATGAGGTTATGAAACCGCAGGCTCAGGCCCCTAACCCTTACATGATGTAATCATCACCCGATGCTCGCACTGTGATATCAGAATGAGAGGCGGGCAACTGACCAGTCTCAGCTGCTTTGAACTTAGAGAAAGCACTGGCCGCATTCTGCCTGAGCAATCCGGTCACGACCTGTAGATTTATAATGCCTGCACAAAGGTTCGTGCCTGGTACTTCTGTAGGTCGAACACTCGTGACCTTCGTTACGGAAGGGAACTGCAGCTACCTTTTTGATGCTGAGCTAAAAGTATGTCGCACGCGTGTTTTCCATACTTTTTGGCTCAGCAGAAATAACGTGGTTATAGTTCCTATCCGTGGTTTGCCTTTCCCGTCAAGTCATGAAATCAAAGTGCACATTGAACCACCCCGGGATTACCGGAGACTCCAAATCTTAGAAGATTGGAGCGATGAGCAAATCAAATCGATATTCCCCAGAGGTCAGGGAACGCGCAGTGCGCATGGTGTTAGAACATGAACGAGAGTATCCCTCTCAATGGCAAGCGATCTGTTCGATAGCGAGCAAAATTGGCTGTTCGCCAGATAGCTTGAAAGCGTGGCTGCAGCGTTCTCAGGTTGATGCAGGCGAGATTCCGGGTACGACCACGGAAGAACGCGAGCGCATCAAGGCGTTGGAGAAGGAAGTCAAAGAACTGCGTCGTGCTAACGAAATTCTAAAAACAGCTTCAGCTTTTTTCGTAGCGGCGGAGCTCACTGGCAACCACGTTGCGTAAACTGAAGTGATGGTGGACTACATCGATTTAAATAAGGAAAAGCATGGGGTCGAGTCGATCTGCAAAGTATTGCCGATAGCCCCATCCACTTACTACGACCACAAAGAAAAGCAGCGCCATCCAGAAAAGCGTTCGTCTCGTGCTCAGCGAGACGAACATTTGAAAGAAGACATTCAGCGCGTCTGGGAAGAAAACTTTTGCGTCTACGGTGTCAGGAAAGTCTGGCGGCAACTCAATCGCGAAGATATTGACGTTGCTCGCTGTACAGTTGAGCGGCTAATGAAAATGCAAGGTTTGCGAGGTGTTGTGCGTGGTCGTCGCGTCAAAACTACCTTACCTGACAACCTGTCTGAGCGGCCGACGGACTTGGTCAATCGCGATTTCAAAGTGACTCGACCCAATGCGCTGTGGGTTGCGGATCTCACGTATGTGGCCACTTGGCGCGGTTTTGTTTACGTCGCGTTCATCATTGACGCCTTCGCTCGTCGTATTGTTGGCTGGCGAGTCTCGACGTCATTACGTGCTGACATCGCCCTGGAAGCACTGGAACAAGCGCTTCATGATCGCAGGCTCGGTAAGCAGGATCAGCTTATCCATCACAGCGATCGCGGTGTTCAGTATGTGGCCATCCGCTATGCAGATCGGCTTGCAGAAGTGGGTATTGATCCTTCGGTCGGCAGTGTCGGAGACTCGTACGACAACGCTCTGGCAGAGACCATCAACGGGTTGTATAAAGCAGAGTTGATCCGTCAGCAAGGTCCCTGGCGTGGTGTCGAGGCGGTTGAGTTTGCAACATTGAAGTGGGTCGACTGGTTCAACAATCGACGCCTCATGGCGACCATAGGCAACGTGCCACCAGCGGAACTGGAATCAGAGTATTATGAACAACAGCGATCAGCTAAAGCAGCATGATCGGAACTAATGAGCCTCCGAAGAAACCGGGGCGGTTCAATATCAAGGAACAGGTGCCTAAAAGGCGCGCCAGCACACAAGCGCCATCATTGACCCAGCGGAAGACATATCAAATCGCTCCCTTAGAATTAGAACAGAGGCTGTTGCAGGCCAGGGTTCGCCTCCTAACTATTCGTCTATGCCGAACCTCTCTACCTCTATGGGAATTGCTTCGATTACTTGACGAAGCCATTGAGCAATGTGCCCTCGGCGACAAATTAGGTATCGACTATGCCTGATCTGTAGAGCATCACTTCTCCAAGAATATTCGCACTGTTCAGCTAGTGATGCCTTTTCGTCAGCCACAGCGGCAGAATCAGATCGCATCAAAGTCGGCTTTCGTATCATCCGCCAGGTGATCTGAAACTATAATTATCTGGCGAGAGCAGCAGAATCTGCCTCCATGCTCGACCTGGTTTCGCACAGACGCGCTCATTTCTATATTGGCGAAGCCGCTACACGAGTGGAACTCGGCGATTCTCCGAACAATAACCGATACTGCCTTGAAAACAGTCCAAGGTGGTTGAAACCATGACTCAGCGCTTCATTGGTAACGGTAGTTGTAAGGTTTGGGTCTTTTAACCTGCTCCGCACACGATGCAATCGCAACAAGCGAAGGTATCGTGAAGGGCTGGTCCCAAACATATCAACGAATGCATACTCGAGGTAGCGCCGGCTGACACCAAGCATGATGCAGATATCGTCGACTCTGAGTTCTTCTGATACTCGATCGCGCATATAACGTTCTGCCCTTTGCGCAGCGCGATAGTGCGAACGAGTGCGGGATTCAACTTTGCTGCCAGGTTCATCAAAATCGCTGAGCACAGCCCCCAATGCGTTACGCAAGTCCAGAGACCATCGTCCGCCACTATGCTGCCATTCTGAACTCTTCAAACGGGTACCAATAATTGCATCTGTTGCTGTCCACAGATCCTGCAGCTTTTCTGAATCAGGCTGGGTGTGTTCGAAATCATTGAGTGACGTAAGTGCACCCGTATTTCTTGCGACGCTCGCAATCGACTCAATCCATTCGACAGGTAGAATCAGCGAAGCCCAGGTCCACCCGTCGTTGATATGGCCGTCCAATTCCGCATCGGGTTTAGAAAACAATACGCTAGCAGGGCTGATGGGGAATCCGTTAAGACGCCCTAGCGAACCGGCTCGAAAGATGCCTACGCCAAATCTCGCCGCATCAAGAGTGCCCCTGAGCCTTAAATCAAGATTAACCTTGCCTTGGTCAACTGACAGCTCGCCTATGTCTAAATTCAGGGCATACACTTCCAGATCACCGGGTTTAAGTTGGATCAGTTCGAGTTCTGAGCCGCTGATAGCATGGTTCAACTCCTCTACGTCTTGGAAGAGGGTAGGCCCCGACCCCTGGTTGCTCACGGTGTCCATCGATTAGTCTCTCAACTGTAAAGAACGCCTACTTGCGGAACAGATTATCCTAATGAAAAGGTGTTGGACAGCGCGCCAGCCGTCGTTGAATAGTTCCATGCGCAAATCTGATAGCCCGCCAACCGGATTTAGAGCATCGTGCCCGTATAGACGGGCAGGAACCTAGGTTATCCCGTGACATCGGGTTAGGCTTCAGGCTGAAAAAATACGCAATCCATAGATAAGCGTCGCCCCTACTGTATGCGTCGGTGTTTTGATAATAAAGGGACGGAAGATGAAAAAGACAATGAGCGCTTTGATAATTGGTACTTTGATGACCACAGTCGCAAGCCCGAATGTTTTTGCTCAGGAATTAGCCCCTCCCAGTGACACTGCGCCAGTTGCTCCAGAATACTCACCTTACTTGAATTACAACTATCCTGATCAGGTGTACTTTGGAGACACCCACCTACACACGTCCTACTCCACAGACGCCGGCATGTTTGGCAATACACTGGGGCCGGAAGCCGCCTACCGTTTCGCAAAAGGTGAAACAGTGACGTCGAGTACCGGTGTGCGCACACGCCTTCTTCGCCCACTCGACTTTCTGGTAGTCGCCGATCACGCTGAAAACATCGGACTAGCGCCGATGATTGCTGAATCAAATACCGATCTCCTGAAAAGCGATTGGGGGCGCCAGGTCCACGATCTGGTCAAGGCTGGGAAGTTAGGTGAAGCCTATGCAGCATGGGGCGGAGCCGTATCAAAGCGTGAGGATCCTCTCGCTGAATTAGGCAGTCTTACGCGATCGATGTGGGAACGTGTAACAGGGGCCGCGGAAGAACATAACAACCCAGGAAAATTCACTGCTTTCATCGGCTACGAATGGACATCGACTCCAAAGGGCAGCAATCTTCACCGCAACGTCATTTTTCGTGATGGTAAAGACCTTGCAGATCGCACCGTACCTTTTTCGGTTTACGATTCAGAGGACGCTGAAGACCTGTGGAAATGGATGGCAGGCTACGAAGCCAAAACCGGTGGACGCGTACTTGCTATTCCACACAATGGCAACCTCTCGAACGGTATGATGTTTGATGACGTTACCTTCCAGGGGCGCAAGCTCACACGCGCATATGCTGAATCCCGCTCACGCTGGGAACCGCTTTACGAAATTACTCAGATGAAAGGCGACGGTGAAGCGCACCCCAGCTTGTCACCTAACGATGAGTTTGCGGATTTCGAAACCTGGGACAAAGGGAGTTTCGGCAGTGCAAAGGAACCCGACATGATTCCACGCGAATATGCCCGAGAAGCGTACAAGCGAGGCCTTCAGTATGAGCAGAAACTGGGCGCCAACCCATTTAAATTTGGCATTGTCGGCAGCACAGACTCACACACCTCTATTTCAGGTACTACCGAAGACAACTTCTTCGGCAAGGTCACCGCAGTTGAGCCGACCGAAAAACCAATTCGCTTCGAGGAGATGATCACAGGCTACCTTCCAGACCCGCAAGGGCGAGACTACACGATGCGTCACTATCAGGCTTCAGCTGCAGGGCTGGCCGCAGTGTGGGCACGAGAGAATACTCGTGAGTCGCTCTGGGATGCCATGAAACGCAAAGAAGTATTTGCCACTACTGGCACCCGCCTTCGCGTACGCGTGTTCGCGGGATGGGATTTTAAGGCAGCAGAAGTAGATCGTTGGGATTTTGCGAGGGCTGGTTATTCCCGTGGTGTACCTATGGGTGGCGATTTACACAAAGGACCCTCAGGCCAGGCCCCTACTTTGATGATCCGAGCCCTTCGCGATCCCGACGGTGCCAACCTCGATCGTGTTCAGGTTGTCAAAGGTTGGATGTCCAGCGATGGTAAAACCCATGAAAGAGTCTACGATGTCGCAGTATCGGATAACCGCCGCATTGGGGCGGATGGCCGCGCCAGGACGCCAGTAGGTAACACAGTAAACGCTGAAGAGGCTACGTACACCAACTCAATCGGAGAGCCAATCCTGTTTGCCTTCTGGCAGGACCCAGAGTTCGATGTCGAACAACCCAGTTTCTATTATGTGCGAGTGCTGGAGATACCGACACCGCGTTGGACGACATACGACGCCAAATTCTATGGCGTAGCGCTCCCCGAAGGAGTGCCAACAAGCCATCAGGAGCGTGCCTATACCAGCCCGATCTGGTATGCCCCGTAAGCTGAATGCTACCTGCTGGATAGCTGGCGATGACGCCCAGGCCGGACACACCGTTTCCCTGGAACACCTTCGTGCTGGCAACCGATGGCTGTGATCAAAAGTTTCCTCAAGGAACCACTGCTCCACTTTGTATTGCTAGGGTCGGCAACATTTGCCCTGTACTCGCTTGTTTCTCCGCAAGGTAGCTACGAACGAGACAACATCATTGTGACACACGGCCAAATTGAACATCTCGAAGCTACGTTCACGAAAACCTGGCAGCGGCCGCCAACATCATCAGAATTGATCGCTCTCATTAGCGACAAAGTACGCGAAGAAATATTTTACCGCGAAGCTTTAGTAATGGGATTGGATAAAGACGACGTCGTTATTCGCCGGCGTCTGCGCCAAAAAATGGAGTTCATCTCAGAGGATGTGGCTTTGCGATCAGAGCCTACAGATGAAGAACTGATCGCCTATTTGGAGACTCATCCAGAAAAATTTCGTGTCGAGCCACGATTTACGTTCCAGCAAATATACCTGAGCCCGCATAAACACGGAGACAATCTAGCGCACCATACAGCGCAGCTTCTCACCACATTAGCACAAGCTAACGATGATGATTTACCGCAACTTGGAGATCCTTTGAGCTTACAGTTGACTCTGGTCGATAGCCCACTTGGGGAGGTTGCAAGACAGTTTGGAGAAGCGTTCGCCAAAAACCTCGCGGTTTTGCCGCGTGGCGGATGGCAGGGGCCGCTTGAATCCGGTTATGGCTTGCATCTGGTGCGGGTCAGAAAGTTCACTCAAAGCGAGCTACCAAAGCTTTCTGAAGTCCGCGAGATAGTGCAGCGTGAATGGACCAATGCACGTCGAGAAGAAGCTAACCAGAGCTTTTATGCGACACTACTCGAGCGTTACAACGTGAGTATTGAGTCGCCAGTGCTGTCCTTAGAGAATGCCGATCTGGCAAGTGCGCAATGAAACCGCAGGCGGCATTGAAAAGTACAAGCTTAGTGCTTCTTTTTTGCACCCTGCTGTTCACCACATTCACCATCAAGGCCCATGAAGTGCGGCCCGCCTACCTTGAGATTCTTGAAACTTACACTGAAAAGTATGATGTTTTGTGGAAGATTCCAGCTTCTGGGGAAAACTTGCGCCTTGGACTTTACGTAGATTTCCCAGACACCTGCAAGCCGACCACAGAACCGCGTGCGGCAATGGTTAACAACGCTCTCAGCGAACGTTGGACGGTCCACTGTGTAGACGGTTTAACCGGCAGAACGATAACAATCGCCGGACTGCAGACAATGGTTACCGATGTAATCGTGAGGCTTGAGCGCCTGGACAACACCACACAAGTCATACGCCTCACGCCTGCCTCACCATCTCTCACTGTGGC